GGGGGCTGAGATCTTGAGAATGGATCAAGGAAATCGTGATGCTCCCCCAGCCATTCCTCATGCTGAACAGGCTATGGGGATCTGGATCTGGCCTTGCGATTGGGGCCGGCCAAGCCGACTGGGCTGGCTATCCCGATAGCAGACGGTCCACTACTTGCTTTGGACTTCAAAGAGTACATCTGTTCTGCCTAAATTTGCTTCCTCAGTTTACATTTGAAATAGTGATCGCTTCATTTTAAACTTCGAGGGGCACTTATTCATGAGATTACATACTTAAACTTCTCTTTGATGATTTCCATCAGTCATGATAATTTTAAAGGGTAGAAATATATTCCAAATTGAATTTAGTAATGCAAATTGACAAGAGTGGGTTGCTCTAGTGGTAAGCACCCTCCACTTCGTCATTTTTTATGAAGTTGCCCGTCAGCATGACTGCTTATCCTCTACAGATATTTTGGTCATTTTAGTTATAACTGTGCAGTATTTGGTTATTCTCTAGGCTTTAATGCTTTTCTTGAGGATTACAAATGTCTAATATTCGCTCAGCAAAGGTAATAATTTCATGAAATGAATAGTTGCTCAACATTTTTAGATATAAGAGTTGTTTTTAATTTTTATAAACTATATATCTTGCAAATGGATATCATGTTTCAAGAGATCCAGTTGCTGACAATCGGTCTCCAGCTTTTTATATTGAAAAAAGAAGTTAACTGATATTCGTACGGTAATAGTGATACTATTATATAATCAACACAACTGATTCAACCACAAATGTGGAGTAAGAATAAGCAGTGCGGTCGAAATAATAAAAAAATGCTCTTTCTTTAAAGATAAACTATTTTCGCTCAAATATAGATGATTTAAAAAAATGACTCTAAATGTTAATGGGTATCTCCATCTATAAATATTCAACCAAAAAACCTGGTTTATTATTTCGCTTTGACGAGTGCATACACTGTTCCGAGATTTTCCCAATTCCGGTTCTACGAGGTAAGCTAATTGAAAACATTTGCCTCCCCATTATTTAATTTGGCTTTTATAAATATTCGACTTTGGATTTTTAACGAAAAATCTGGTTTACCTATACTCAACTGTTTGCAGGTCTTTCCGATTACACGTCTGATATAAAATGCATTTTTAGATTGGGATTGTTACATAAATAACCTGTTAGATTTAATATTTATTTTTTATAACTGATATACATATATTATACATTGTTATATATATGTACATATATTGGTCAGAAAATTGACACTTAAACTCTAAACTGCTCCGTGCAACTTCTTTTAAATTAAGTAGCCCAAATAATCATAGAGCAGGAAGGAAGGAAAGCTTTACAGCTTTGACTATAGCTATTGGGTTCGGGCTTTACCTGAGCCTGGTCTCATTGTAAATGGGAATAACCAGGCAGCTCATGGTCAACGTGTATGCCTGGCCACCTGGAGGATAAAATTATAATTTGTTATTACAGTTATTATCCGTTTGATTTCTCTTACCAGACTAAACACCTCTTATCTTCACACCTCTGCTCACTCACTCCTCCCTTCTGACCATAGTTATTTTCTTAGTCAGCTCTAAGCCCTCACGCTATGTTGCATAACTGATGCATTGGCTACCTTATTTTGTCCAGTTTAGTGCTGCCTGAGAAAGACTTATTTATAATGCAGTACTACTTCATCTGTACGAGTATTCCAAAAACATTTGTATGCTTCGAATTTGATTTTGAACTTTCTGCCTTAATTTGTTATTACCTTTGTATTGTTGTAAAGTAATTGACAAGAATTATGTAACATATTTTTCAATATGAACTACCGGTATATTCCAATAAAGAAATGCCACTAACCTGAGATTCCAATACATCGGTGTAGTTGATTGATGAACATATTTTTGTTGATGAAAAAAGTTAATCATCATAGATCTTTTGTCTGCATAGCTAACATGGTGTTGTAACTATGTAGTCTGCCTGTATATACATATTTTGTAGGCTGCCAACTTGTGTTTGACTGGCAAATGAGAACCTGCAACTTTTTTAGGCTGCCAAATAACGCCATTACTAACGTCCTCTTATTTCCAACATTGCAGAAAACATGGAAAATGCGCTTTACTTTAATAACTTATTGGCATGTATATTTACATTTTTGTTAGCCGATAAAACATATTGGTCCTGTAACTGATGCAAATAGTGGTTACTGAAAACTCAACCCGAAAAGATGGTCTCTTCCACTAACCTCTTCCCATGAGCTTCCGGAGTCNAAGTCCCCGGCAACGGCGCCAAAAACTTGTTACGGCCAAACACACTCACGCAAGTATACGTGGTCGTCAAGTAATAAAGTAGTGAATAAAGTATCGTTCCCACGAAGACTTATGATTAACTTTGACTAATTCAAACTCGAATAGCTTATTGATTCAAGATATTTCTAACAAAATATATAATTTTCTAACTTACTACCTACGGACGATCAAATAATGTATCGCTAAGAATTCAATACAACACTTAAATAGTTTTGTTCAACAATCAATAAGATATAATATTCCAGGGTCACGGGTCAT